GCGGAGATGGACCCCTCTCTCCGCTGGAAACTGTTCCTAGAAACAATGGCTGCAGATGCCTGGCTTCTGGCACCTGTATCCTCCTGGCACCACCATTAGAATCAACAAGTCCTCGACCTATAGTTACAGGGAACCTTCATTGATTTCCAACCTGAAGAAGTCCACATCTACTCATCCTTACTGTGGGGAGTCCTATTAACCCTTTCCTCCCAATCCTCAAGCCCTCACTCCCTTCTCCGCCCCTGTTCAGCAGGAAGCAGTCAGAGAGAAAGCAATGTCCACAACCCCATAGAGGAGAAAGGGGGAAATGAAGGGCCCCCACCAGTAAGATGGCAAACTTCCGGCTTCTCTTCAGGGTCCTCAGTTCCCGCCCGCGCCACCTGAAGCCCAATCACCTCTTGCCCCCCTCCCAATCCCAGCACCTAGCCAACAGCCACCAGCCCCATAGAAGTAACACCACAATCACCCATGCCCCTTCCTATATAACCCTGCACCTTTCCCTAATAAAGCGGAATTCTCCGGTGAATTGCTGCTGTGTGTTGCTCCTTTCCTTTCACCCCCCAACATGCCATTGCAGTCACTGTCTATTAGCTTAGTAAGATGCTACAGAGGCACTACTTGTCTTCTCTGTGCTATACTGCCTTCGCTGTGACACCCCTACATTATGTGTGTTAATCATAATGCCCTTTAATCTCTTTTGCCCTCCCTCCCCACTATCCCCACCCCATTCCCTTTCATAACCGCTAGTCTCTTCTTGGAGTCTGTTAGTCTGCTGCTGTTTTGTTCCTTCAGTTTTGTTGTTATACTCCACAAATGAGTGAAATCATTTGGTACTTGTCTTTCTCCACCTGGCTTTTTCACTGAGCATAATACCCTCTAGCTCCATCCATGTTGTTGCAAATCTCTGCCCATTTTTTAATCAGGTTATTTGCTTTTTGGGTGTTGAGACCTCTGAGTTCTTTATTTATTTTGGATATTAACCCTTGTCAGATATGTCACCTAAAAATATATTCTCCCAGACTGTAGGATGCCGTTTTGTTCTACTGATGGTGTCCTTTGCTGTACAGAAGCTTTTTAGTTTGATATAGTCTCACTTGTTCATTTTTGCTTTTGTTTCCCTTGCCCGAGGAGATATGTTCAGGAAAAAATTGCTTATGTTTATATTCAAGAGTTTTTGCCTATGTTTTCTTCTAAGAATTTTATGGTTTCATGACTTACATTCAGGTCTTTGATCCATTTCGAGTTTACTTTTGTGTGTGGAGTTAGGCAATAATCCAGTTTCGTTCTCTTCCATGTAGCTTTCCAGTTTTGCCAACACCAGTTGTTGAAGAGGCTGTCATTTCCCCATTGTATATCCATGGCTCCTTTATCTTTTATTAATTGACCGTATATGCTTGGGTTTATATCTGGGCTCTATATTCTGTTCCATTGATCAATGGGTCTGTTCTTGTGCCAGTACCAAATCGTTTTGATTACTGTGGTTTTATAGTAGAGCTTGAAGTTAGGGAGCATAATCCCCTTCGCTTTATTCTTCCTTCTCAGGATTGCTTTGGCTATTTGGGGTCTTTTCTGGTTCCATATTAATTTTAGAAATGTTTGTTCTAGTTCATTGAAGAATGCTGTTGGTATTTTGATAGAGATGGTATTGAAGCTGTAGATTGCTTTAGACAGTTTGGCCATTTTGACAATATTAGTTCTTCCTATCCAGGAGCACGAGATATACTTCCATGTATTTGTGTCTTTAATTTCTCTTATGAGTATTCTGTAGTTTTCAGCATATAGGTCTTTCACCTCCTTGGTTAGGTTTATTCCTAGGTATTATATTCTCTTTGATGTAGTTGTAAATGGCATTGTTTTCTTCCTTTTTCTGTCTGCTAGTTCATCATTAGTATATAGGAATACCACAGATTACTGTGTATTAATTCTGTATCCTGCAGCTTTGTTGAATTCAGTTATTAGTTATAGTTGAGTTTTGGTGGATTCTTTAGGGTTTTTTGTGTACAACATCATGTCATCTTAAACAGTGACAGTTTAACTTCTTCCTTACCAATCTGGATGCCTTTTATCTCTTTGTGTTGTCTGATTGCTGTGGCTAGGACCTCCAGAACTATGTTGAATAAAGGGGGGAGAGAGGGCATCCTTTTTTTGTTCCCAATCTTAGAGGAAGAGCTTTCAGCTTTTCGCTGTTAAGTATGATGTTGGCTGTGGGTTTTGTCATATATGGCCTTTATTATGTTGAGGTACTTGCCCTCTATACACATTTTGTTGAGTTTTTATCATGAATGGATGTTGAATTTTGTCAAATGCATTTTCGTCATCTTTTGAGATGATCGTGTGATTTGTGATTCAGTTTTAATATAGTAAATTTGAATTTACTTATTACAAAGTCTCATATAATAATAAGGTTTTTCTCTTGGCTTCCCTTTACCTCTCTATTATTGCTATTCTCACTTTATGCTCTAGTGATAAAGTAAAAAAATCAATAAAAATTTAAAAAATGATAAGCTAAGTTGAGCATGTCTTGATCTTTTTCTAAAAAAAATGTGAACCTCTTAATGTCTCTGAAATATTATGCTCCCTTGTTTATAAAGTCCTGCGCCTTTGTAAGTTGTAATTCTAGTGGCTTAGGTTCCTTTCAACTACTTCCTCTTTCTGTTTTCTGCTCTGTTATTTCTTAAAATTAAGTTACCATACAAATCACATGGGGACCATGTTAAACTGTAGATTATGATTCAGTAGGACTGGTGTGGCATGCAAGATTCTGTCTTTTAACAAGCTCTCAGATGATGCTGGCATCTCTGGGACCGTATCTTCACTAACAGCAATCTAGACTACCTAACAAACTCATTGTCATCAAGAATATTTCCCCTGATCCCCCCTCTATACCCTCATTATCTCTTTTCTTATAATTATTTAGGTATCTATCTCCCTATTCAGTTGCAGATTTTGCCTAGAGGGACTGTGTCTTTCATCCTGATATCCCCAAAGCTTTGCATATTGTTTTCATGCATGTTTTCAATAAGTGTTGATTGCCCATTAGATGGTGTTATGTCCTATTTACATAGTCAAATATATATACTGAATATTACGATTAGATTTTTTATTTTTATTGTAGAAGAAAGGAAATGAATTATGAATCTCAATATTTTTTCTCTGTAGTCCTTTTTTAGAAGGAATAAAACCATCAAATGTGCCCCAGCTGGCCTTTGGTACAAAAATATTTTGAAGCCTTTATAATAGCATATAGTGTTTCTCAAGATTACTGTGTCTGTAGAAATGTTTTTTAGAAAACTAATGACTGTATTTTTCTTTCTACCCAAGGAGAAGTACAAATGTCTACCACAAGACGAAAACGTAGTATGTTATGCTGTTTACCGTAAGCTGTAGTAAAATGAGCTCAATTATTGACAGGTATGTTTTTAGAGACTATCTTGAATTATGTAAAGCTATTTTAAAATTCACTACTAGACCAATGGTCTATATCAAACTAATAACAGGTGTTTTACACTGAAACATAATTACCACATTCAGTTTCTGTATTGAATAATATGGTGTAATAGTAAGATGTATTAATATTATCTGTAACCAGTCGACAGTGTATGGTTTGTATTCTAAACAGGTCTTGAGTTGTACTTTTATGATTTGATTAGAGCTGCTCTGAATGAAATGGTGAAAGTTGGAAATGTTTCCTTGGTCCGTTATGGAATCTTCTATCTCCTCATCTCTTGTCCTTTTTCTCCTTATCTTTTGTGCTAACTTTAAGCATTTTAGTATTTGTGATTCATCAGAGGTAACTGTAATTGGGATTTCACTAGTTGAAATTATAATCTTTAAATTTTACTCTTGGAAATTGGATAAACTTCCTTGTTTCTTTGATTTTAAGACTTTTCTTACATTTTAGTATTTCTGACATTGGGATTCATTTTACAATTGGCTCATCACAGCAGCATTAGTAACATTTTTTTCCTTAGTGGCACATAAGGTACTGGTAAGTTTTGTAATCACTGGTATTTCAAATCTGATAAAATATAGTAGCATTTTAAGCACCTCCTCTTTGGCAGCTAATATGCAGAATACTTTTTATATACTCTTTCACCTCACAATTCTGTGAGGTTTTACAGATGAGGGAACTGTAGGTCAGTGAAGTTAGTTTGTTTAAGGTCACATAGTAAGTAAGGAGCCTGTATTATGACCTGTGTTGATCTGACACTCTGAGGTTTCTGTGCTTTTATTATAGCATACTGTATGATTCTTCCATAGGGGATTCCTTAAGAGTTTTGTAGCTAGAGTTGTACACAGAAGTGAAGTATAACGTCTGGAGGCAACCCTTCTCCCTTTCTTGTGAGATAAACAGTGAAGATAGCTACTCTACTGGAACTTAAGACCTCAGGGGCAAGGGGTTTCCTTATAGACCCCTGCCTGCACCACTGCCATAGATTTGGGCTATGCCATAGTTTTAGGTGGGATCTGTGTGTAGCTTTCTCAGAAAAGATGTTTCTTCCCTGCTTATGAGAAATTAAATATGATTTTGGTATTATACTTCTGAATGATTGTTAGCTTCCTATTCAAAAGAATATGCCATCTAGGGGAAGACATCTCTTTTCAGACATAAAGCTGTGGTTCTTAATAGTAGTTTGTTATCTCTTTGACTATCATGAAAACTATGGACTCTCTCCTCAGTAAAATGCATAAACATACAGAATTTTAAATAAATTTGAATGCATACATGGAACCCCCAAAATTCATAATGGACCGCTCTGACACAAGATTTGCAGATGTTCTTATTAATGGGTCCAGGAGGCACTGTGTAGGCCTTTACAGGCTACAGAAAGGTGTGGTTAAGGGAGTAAGTAGTAAATTCATGTGAAACCTCATAAATCACCTCAAACTATGTAATACTACTCCTTTGGTTTAGGGGTTAGCCACCGATGCTTTTGATTCCATTTATTAGAATGCTCTTCTCTAGATCTTCCCATAACCAACCCCTCTTGTCAGTCATTTAGATCTCAGTTCAAATATCTCCACTCAACAAGTCCTTCCCTAATCATTCAGACCAAGGTTAACTACCCAGTAAGTAAAACATCATACCTTTAAAAAAAAAAACTTACCGTCATACATTATCATGTTAATTTGTTTGTACTAGAAAATAAGCTGTAGGAGGGACTTACATGCCTGGTTAACTGCTCTTTAACCATGTCTAAAACAGAGCCTGGGACATGAGTGCTAATAAATTTTTGTCAAATGAATCAGTAATAAATGGAAGTGTATTTATTTAATTTAATATGCTAGATATTGTGGTGCTTATGAGTGGTTTGTGGTTTTATAAAGTGAATGTCCCAAAATAGTCTTTAAATTATGCTGTTACAGTTAAAAATAATTTTAAGTGAATCATTTTATATAGTGGCAAATACACTTTTTATAGATTTTCACTGGTTACTAAGAGTTTTGAAATAAGATATTTAACCTCTAGTTAATTTTCATTTAGCATGCTGTGCATATAGTATAGCTAAGTTAAGTAATTTTGAAGTTCACATTTATAATAAAGTTAAACATGGCTAATTTTCTAAGACTTAATAGAAAACAGGATAATAGTAGTCTGAATTTATGCAATCCATTAAATCTAGGATCCTTAAATATAACTGATTTGATTCACATATAATTTTAGTATTGTTGCTTAATGAATCTCCTCTTATTTTCTCTATCCACTTTTCTTTTTTCTTTTAGAGAAGATGGTAGTATTTTTGATGGGTTTGTGGAAGAAGATGACAAGGACAAAGCAAAAAGGTAGTTCAACTCAAGATGTAAAATAGTAATTAAACAAATAATAACTAAATGTGAAAGTAATTAAATAGTAAATCAGTGATTTCTAAAAGCTGCCTGCCTTAGTAACTTAGCTATATTAGCAAGGTGGAAGAACTTAGAGTATCAATATGCAGTTTATAACTAACAAAATTATCTTTTAAAAGTTCCCTTCTTACACATACTATGGGTACATAATATGTATGTGACATCATTATGGATGTTAACCTTCTGCACTTGGCTGAGATAGGGTTTGCCTGGATTCACCATGTAGTTACTGTTTCCCCTTATCCTATTCTGTTCTTTAAAAGCAAAGCCCACTATCAGAGTAGAGGTGGAGGGAATTAAACTCCATCTCCAGTAGGAGGGGATTCCTACCTGTATTTGGAATTCTCTTGTAAAAAAATTGTCTCTCTCCCATTTATTTATATCTGTGTGGATTCATGTGTATTTTATACTTTAGGTTATATTCCAGTGCTATTTTACTTTTTTGTTCAACTTGTTCCACCTTTGGCCCTTGGGAGGTCTTTTGGGGTTGGCTTCTGTGTCCTCTTACCTGCCTCCATTCTCCAATAGAAAGGAAAGGTAGATGATGGAGAGAGAGAGGGAAGAATTGCTGGAGAGGTGTCACCAAGAAGGTGAGGGAATGGAATCTAGAGCCATGGGTGGAGGGGGTGTTCAACTCAATTAGGAGCCTTGACGATTTATTATATCAGGAGGGAGGGTCCAGGTAGCATAACAACCAAGTTTGTAGTCATTGAGAGTGAGCAGGAAACACTGTGGTTTTTTTCCAGCCACGTTAAGCTACATGGGTACTTCAACAAGGATAAGGGTGTTACTGCATCACACACAAGCACAAAAGATAACATGTAATGAGTAATGCTTCCTAAATGTCTGTATTTAGGGTACTGGTTAAGAAAAATATGCACAATAACCAGGTAAATTGCTAAATACTTTGATGAATGATTCATAAAATATATCTAAGAAGATTTTGAGGAAAGCTATACAATGTTATTCAAGGAGATAAAAAGATCTGCCTATGAAGCGAAAAGCATATAATAAGACAAATGCCTTAACCTTAACCTCAATCTAGTGGAGGGAGGTTCTTTTAAAATACTTCAGGGTAGAGATAAAGTGGGAATAATCAGCCTTACCTGAATGAAGAGGGAGAACTCTAAGGAACTGACTTGGACAATCTTAAAGGCCAAGTTTGTGGATGGATAAGATGAGCTAAGAGTATTCTATTTGCAAAGACTCAGAAGATTTGATCATTTTTTTAGGGAACCAAAAATACTGTGGCTGTGGGAAACCTTGGAGAAAGAGAAGGAGCCTCACAATGATGTTGTCATAATTGAACAGGACCACATTGAACTCTGACTGAAAACCATGATGAGTTAGAGACTAGGGTTGAACTGAGAACAAAGGGAGTTTTGCACTTACTCCCAACATGAAACATCTGTGGCCTGTTACCAGCAAGGTCATCACAAGGGCTACCTCCAGTCTAAGTGTAATAGGCAGTAAAGTTTGTGTTAACAGTTGTGTTCCAGTGGCAGAGCTGGCAATAATATTAAATTTCTGTATATTTTCTTCCCATGGAGTTAAATTTCTGATTTGAATTATTACTTCATGGTAACTGTATGACCCTGGGCATGTTCTTCTTTATGCCTGAGTTGTCACACCTGTAAAGTGAAAAATAATAATGAAGTCTACCTTGTACATATAAATGAGATTTCACAAATGTTTACAGTAGTGCCTAGCATAAAAGTGTGTATATGGGCTATTAATGTATTCAGATATTTCATGCATACTAATTGTCAGGTGCTTATTTCTTACTCTTTTCTAGAGGAGTATAACTAGATCCGTATGTCCAAGCTTCTTATGTCTGTCGTTTAAAATGTTAAACATGCAATTTCACCATATTTAAATTCTCCCCAAACCATCTGTTTACCAAAACCAGTACCATGTTTTATATTTTACATTGATAAACATCATTACCAGTAACTTCGGAATCCTCTTATATTTTCCTTTTGCTTTCTCACTCCAAACAAAATCTGATTTAACTACTTGATTATTTTGCCTCTTAAACCCTTAAACCCACACTGCTCTGTTAATATTGCCACTGTCATGGTTTATAGGCTAAGATGCAGCCATTGCCTCCTAAGTGGTCACCTGGCCTTGAGTTTTGTTCAGCATTTAGTAAGTTTTCAGTAGCATTTGCTCAATGAATATGTTTTGCCAAGTGTTGGTCCTTTCATTACTCTGATGCCAGAGTGGTCTTATTAACAAGCAAGTCTGTTCATGGCATTTCTTTGCTTAAAAACTTTCAGTGCATTCCGATGACTTTCAGAAGTAAACTAAAATACTTTTCTGTAGCATGAAAAATATATGATTTCTTTCAGTACTTATTACTCCCACCTGCCTCTCAACTCCACCATGGTGGAGTTTCCCTAGCCCTTTATAGCACAGTCTCTGTCATTATAGCAAGCATTCATTGTTTGATGAGAATATCACATAATACCTATGAAGTTTCTTAAGATGTTTGAACAATTGTATTGTTCCCAGTACTAATACAGAATAAAGGCTTGTTCTTAACTGGAAAACAAAAAGTTAAAACGAAATGAAACGAAACGATGAAATGAAATGAAATAAATTATCCTCTGACTTTTGGGAAAGTAGTAAGCTTAAATAAAAGTCTTTGAAAATCTGACTTCACAAAAGAGATATTATACAGTGGTTAATTGTACTATAAATAATTGTATTTATTTATTATTGTTTATATAAAATATAAATGTATTTAATTATCTTGAGGTCTTAGTACAACTAAGTATTTACTGGTTACTGCTTTACATAGAACAAGTAATTATTCACTTAACATATATTTTGAGAGCTTACTGTTAGATGTTATGCTTAAATACTTAGGTGAAAAAAAATTGGGCTCTGTTATCAAGGAGTCCACAGCCTGATGGAGAGACAGATATGCAAACAAATAGTTATAGCTTGATGTTGGGGCCTAGGATGTAGGAATAAAGAGAAAGAATGTATGGAAAAGCCTGAGAGTAGTGAGTTTTTCATTTTTAGATTTCTGATTGTAACTTAAAACTTAAAGGAAATGAATAACTTTTTTCTATTCGTTAATTGAAAACAATTTGTATTTACACATTGTATGTACTTTCACAAAGTATATATCTCAGTAATTTTCATAATAACCTAATAAGAAAAATATAAATTCTTGGTAAATACTAGATTAAGTAAAAGCCAAGGTTAGAATGCAGTTTGTCTTGCTGGCATTTTCATAAATATATGTGCCAAATGCTTAATTTGTAAAAGTTTCTTTAATGATAAATTGAGAAAAGTTATTGCCCAAATTAACTATATAGCATTAGTAACCTAGGAGATAAATATTTATTACTATCTATATTAATGGAAATACATGCTGTGTGGTTTTGTCCAAATTGAGCATTGTATTAAACTATTAGTGTAATTGAATGGAATATTTGAAAACTGCATATTTAATTTTTTATTTCACCAGAGTATCTAGAAATAAATCTGAGAAGAAACGTAGAGATCAGTTTAATGTTCTCATTAAAGAACTGGGATCCATGCTTCCTGGGAATGCTAGAAAGATGGACAAATCTACTGTTCTACAGAAGAGCATTGATTTTTTACGAAAACATAAAGGTAAAATTTAAACTTTGTAAAGTGGATTTTTTTTTTATAACAGACTCTTCCTTAAAAGCATAATGTAACAGAATCTTGTCAGTGATGATTAACATTGGATGCTTCCCAACCTTTTTTAAAAGAAAAATATGTTTCCTTTTTAAAGATTTGCTGGTATGTTCTTTCTTTCATTCAACAAAACATTTATTTACTGTCTACAACATCCTAGATCCTTGTGGTGCATGGTAGCAGACAGCTAATTGCAATGCAGATAATTAGAATGTGAGTAGGGTTTGTAAACCATAGACTTGCGGTGAGAACACAGAGGAAAGAATGTGTCAAGGAAGGCTTAAAAATAGTTGTATTTTCAACCAAATCTTCCTTTTAATTAAGGAAAACAGCATTTCACATGTAGGAAATAGCATGTGCAAAAAACAGACTAGGAGAGTTCAGTGTAACAGGGGCATACTTTGAATTGGAAAGTTATGAGTATATATGAAAGAAAGTCAATGGCCAGATTGTGAGGGACTGTTTTCATTATATGTCTAGGAAATAAACACTATGTTTTAAAATAAAGTGATTATCTGTTAATTGATGTAAATTACTTTGACTAAGTGAGTCATGAAAATAAATTTAAAGAATACTAAGAATTTTGGTAACAGATAATGAAAAATTTGTAGAAGGGTATTTCCTTTTTCAGAAATGAAACTGCAAAATTTCTCAGAAGGAGAATTTGTGACTAGTACCTCTGCTTGCTTACTTCTCCCTAGTTACTCTGTAATGCATTACTAGCCTCCCTTATGCTCCTCCACTCCTTGAAATTATATTTGTTAATTTCACTAGTGCCATTATCCCACTCCCTCTGCTGCCAATAAAACCGTTGCTTTTTCTTATACATCTTCTTCTCTGCATCTTTGAAGCACTGGAAATTTTAATCCATCCTCTACTGGTTTTCTTTACCCTTGGCTTGTGTGAGATTATTCTTCATTCATCTCCCCCTTCCTAACTGAAACTAACCTTTTTCTTCTTTTTCTGCACTCTAAATGTGACATTTCTCAAGGTCTTATCTTTTTTATTATTGCTTTCTCTTACATTCTTTCCCCTAGTTAACTAATTCAGTAGTTTCAGCCTTGTCTCTCTGTTAGACTACTTAATTTGTATTTTAAATGAAAACTTTTTAACCTTTTATTTCCAGACAGATTCTGGATCTTTCTTTTGCATGTCCTCAATCTCAACACATCTAAAACTAAACTCATTTTCATTTTTGAGAAAAAGTCACCTTTTTCTCAACTTTCCTTTTTTCATTTTTGCTGCACCATCCTTTCAGTCCCCCAGGACTCAAGCCTGAAAAGATTTTTGGATTTTTTTCATCCATCTTAGTACTATATCAGTTGCCAAATTTTGTTGATTCTTCAGTAAATTCTTGTCTTCATTTTTATTGCCACCATTATCATTACATTTTACCTCTTCAAAGAGTATTGTCCCTTGTTAGGTGGCACACTCAATCCCTCAGACATTGTAGTTCAATAAGTGATTGTTGAATGAAATGAAATAATATGCATGCATTTCTTCCTGACAATAGATGGTTAATTTTGGCATTAAGTAGATCGGTGGTTTTTGTTTTTTGTTTTTTAAAGTTGGGTATATAATTCTCACAAAAATAAAATTTACCTTAAAGTGAAAGGAAATTTTTATATACTTATTACTCTTAAGTAAGCCTGTGTTTAACTAAATTTGATAGGATTTGCTTGTGATTTAAATACTTTATTCTGAATGTATATAATTGTTGTGACTTTGAAAAGCATAACTATATTCTACAGAACTAGTAGGTAGACTTCTCAGTTACTCTTCATATTCTAGTTCAGGCATTTCCAATATGCCAAATTTTGGGTGCCAGTTTAATATATTTATCGATGGAAATGGAAAAGACATTTAGTGCCTATATAGTTCAGTTTTCATCATTTATGAATAGCTTTCTCATAACTAGATCCATTAGAAGTATGTTGCAAAATAAATTATAATAATCATGTTAAAAGCCAAGAATCTACAAATTTTTGACCAGCTTCCTACCATGAAGAATACATGCAAGAGGATACAAAGCAAAGTAACTATGAGATTTTTAAAGTTTTTGCCCTAATTCTTAATTTAGTTTTCTTCATTAATTAAGCATAGAGTACCTCAGACTGGCAGGAATCTTTCTGCCTAGCAACAGGCAGGGCCTAACGTTTTGTTGAAAGGAGACTGACTGATCTTCTTGGCTCTGTTCCTCCAGGCTCACATCCTTATGTCTGCTCTAGGTTCAACCATTTGAATGTCCAGGAAAGGAAGAAGAAAAAACTTTCTTCATAATGCTTGATCTAATCCACTTGTTCTGATGCTTTGGTCATTGTATCAAGCAGGACCCAATCTCAGGTGTTTCAGCAACACAGTCCATCAAAGGTCCCCAGAGAAAAACAAAAGACTGGTATTTCCAAGAGACCAAATCCAAGGAGATAACTTGCCACATTAGCTCAAATATTTCCTTATACCTGGACTTCCTACCTAGACCAGTAAATGTTACTGCCTATGGTTCTTATTAAATTAGAGTGGGAGGAGAGAAGACAACTTGTAGGACTTTTGTGTTGCTCCTTTCTCCTACCCTGTGTTTGAAGTGTGCTGCTAATGTATCAAATACTCTGTTTACAGAAATCACGGCACAGTCAGATGCCAGTGAAATTCGACAGGACTGGAAACCTACATTCCTTAGTAATGAGGAGTTTACACAATTAATGTTAGAGGTATGTCCAGATTTAATTTTTGAAAAGTTTTTTGTTTTCCTCAAAAATCAATCACAGGAATGACTATTTTAGTATAGTTTTAACAGTATTAATTTAATTTTTTTATTTTTTTTATTTTTATTTTTTTATTTTTTTATTTTTTATTTTTATTTTTTTTTTTGAGAGGGCGTCTCTCATATTTATTGATCAAATGGTTGTTAACAACAATAAAATTCAGTATAGGGGGGTCAATGGTCAATGTACAATCATTAATCCATCTCAAGCCTAATTCTCGTCAGTCTCCAATCTTCTGAAGCATAACGAACAAGTTCTTACATGGTGAACGAATTCTTACAGAGTGAATAAATTCTTACATGGTGAACAGTACAAGGGCATTCATCACAGAAACTTTTGGTTTTGATCATGCAATATGACCTATAAACCATCAGGTCAAATATGAATATTCATTT